TAAATATATAATATCTATATTAGTATATTACTAATATAGTATATTAATATATTATTATTATTAAGTTATTATATAATATAATTTATAAATTTTTATTTTTTAAAATACCATAAACTTTTTATATATAATTATTTTAATATATTTTATATTTCGAACAATAACGATTCGAACACGTACAAACGCATCACTGTTCGTGTTTGGTTCGTTTAACTAACCGAACGAAAAAAATTTCTTCACGTTCGTCTCGTTTACTTATCGAACGAATCGAACACGAACTCGTTGACGAAGCAAGCACGAACTGTTCACGAAACAACGAGCTTTTTTGACAGCCCTACTCAACATTGATTAATATAAACTTTTATAATAATTATTAATATCATGTTCTAAAGTTTATATGAAAATCAATAGTTCTAATAAATATTAATGCTAATAATGCACTATAATTTAGAGTCATTAAATGACCATTAGGCTGAATAATTGGAGGGTCACAGTCAAGACCTTATATTCTATCTCAATATTTGCTTATGTTTTAAACCACCCATGTGAGCTATTTATTACTCCCACTTTTGTGGACTTGAACTTGAGTCAATTGTCAATTTGAGCATGTGATACATGTCAAGTGTCTAATAGATTATGGAGGATGCCCCCATAAAAGGCATATTTCTTAAAGAGCTTGCTTAAAAAATCCATGCTAAACCTCATTAGACTCTAAAAGAGTTTAAAGTAGTGCTCCCTATAGAGCTCATAAACACTTTCAAGCACATAATAGGTTATAGAATTGACCTTCAAACATTTTTTGTTGTAAATTAGTCCCACTTTGACAACACTAGTTGTCATTAAAAAATCTCATGTCTTAGACATGACAACTTATTATGTTGGACTATTTTTATCAATTTTGTCATCATCCCTCTTAGAGCGAACTTTTAACAAAATATTAGTCTTCATCATTTCTTGTGAACATTTGAATTGATGTGTGCTAGAAAATTTGTGGCAGTAGAAAAATGGATTTTCGTCTTAGCATTGCATGAGAATTCAACATGCACTCAGATAAAAAAAAACCCAGTAGTGATACCATAAGTTTTTACGTGAAAAACCTGTAAAGGAAAAAAATCACTAGACCTAGCACATTTGAAGAAATCCACAATAAATTGGATATTACATATACAGCCCCTTGTCTCACGGGCAGAAAAGGGTTGAACGCTCTTCGGAGTTACAACGTCGGTGCACAAAAAAAACTTGTTGTAATAAGTGGGCGGCGACTGATGACGATCAGTGGAGGCCAGCAGGTGGTGGTCAACAGCGGTTGACAGTGGTTGACGACAGTTGATGATGATCGACTGTGGCAGAAGTTGTGTTGGGCGTCAGCTCTTTCTCAAAGCTTCAAGCTCTTCTTCAAGCTTCAAGCTCCCCTCCTCTTCATGAGAGGGGTTTGGTTTTATTTATAGTGTTATGTGTGTAATTAATTCTTGAATAACTTTAATCGGACAGTTCAGAGAGCTTTCTTTGATAAGATGACATTTGATGAACATTTGAGTGTCTTAATGATGTCATAAATGAGCAATCTTTGACTCATTGGATTCGTCTTCTCGAGACGCTTGATTCGACTATAACCTTTCTAGATTCGTCATTTGTTTGATCATCTAAATATGTTCAAAAAATCTTTCAAGTATGGTTTAATGACTTGATCTGAGCTTGATTTGACTCGGATTAGATTGATTTTGATATCATTGGGTTTGTCTCATCAAGTCGGTCAGTTTGACTTTGACTATAAGTTTGTTGAAATCGGAACTCTGAATAACTTTTAATTGAAGTTTGGTTATTTTTTGCTCTACGCTTCAAGATTCGTGTCTGATGCTGAAAATTTGTTGCCGGTTAACTTTTAAATAATACCGCATGAAGTAGTTCATGATGAAAATTTATTAAAAGAAGGCTATTATAATCAAAATTATTTGACCATTTGGGCTCCCATATGAGCAAAAAATATTACATGTGAATGAATCTATACATAGATATGGGTGTACTAGAGGTGTATTCCTTACATGTATACCATTCACTTCTTATATAATTACATATCTAACCGCTAAACTATTTTTTTAATTTTATTTATACCCTCAAATATTTAATATCACGTAAAAATATCACTTTTTTAACCTTGAAAAGGTGACAAATATGTAAAAATGAAAAATTTAAGTTTCAAACATATAAATACATAAGAATTGGGTGATATTAATGCAATTATTCCTATTAAAAATATTACTATATTTTTAATTTATTATTTATATAAATATGAAATTTTAAGTGGAGACATGTGCAAAATTATGCGGCATGTGTACCTAAGAGAGTCCATATTTTGTAGCTAACCAACCAATTACCATAGAATATGATAAAATTGTAGATCCATCCTCCAATTTAATAAAATTTATGTTTTTTGTTATGGAAGATTAACATGTTTATGTGCATCACCTTATTTATTTATGCATGAAGATATCTATTTTTTAAATTAAAATAATAATATTTTTGATGTGATATAAAAGCTTTGCATGATAAGTAGGGCTGTCAGAATGGCTTGTTGTTCGCGAACAACTAGTGGTCGGTTAGTTAAGAAGCTCGTGTTTGACTCGTTCGCTACGTTAACGAGTCGAACACGAACATCACGAACAATATTTGTTCGCTCGTGTTCGGCTCGTTTTAGCTCAAAATACTGCTATATATAAAAGTATTAATTAAAAAAATTGATTAAAAATTGTTAAATTAGATTCAAATGATGTTTTAAATCTTGCCACAATTCTTAACATCTTATGACTACGTGATTAAGGTTGTCAAAACGATTCTATGCGTGTGAACGACTTGTGTTCGGCTCACTAACCAAACGAGTCAAACACGAACACACTTTTTGAGGTCGAAATATAAACGAGCCGAACACGAGCTGAGCCTTACACCTCCAATGATAAGAATAAAATATAGAATTGAAGTTTTGCATTATAGGAATGAACGGATATTTATGAAAATGTCCCTTTTCATCACTCAATTCTTATATAAATATATCATCTTATTTATACATGAAAAAAATCTAATTTATTTAAAAAAACGACATTTTTGTGGGGTAAGAATATAAAAAATATTTTTTTGGCGTTAGATATGTAATATATGTAAATGCCCCTTTTATATTCACACGCGCATGTATTTTTTAATTCCTAGCACACAAGACATCTCTCAACGTGCTAATAATAGTCTACACAAAATTTGTATATAGAGCACTTAATTCTTATATATTTACATATCTCACATCTAAATTTTGATATTTACATCTTGATGTTTTAAATTTATATATAAAAATATGTATATGACTTTTAAGAAATAATAATAATGTCATTTTTTATGTGGTATTAAATATGTTGAGAAATTAGGGAGAATAAAAACAATAATCCACACAAAATCAGAAGAACACAAAGTTTTAGTGAGATTCGACAAATATGTCTACGTCCTCGGGAGCAGAGCGATAAATTTTTTTTCAACTCCATAAATAGAGTACAGGATACAAAGTACAACATGTAATTCCCAAATTATCCCACGTAACGAAACTCCCCCGATTGAACAGATTCTTCCGCTCTGCTCCGCTTCGTTCCAACATCTGTCCCTTATATGATATATGAGTCATACCATAACAAAATAGTTGAAGGTTTCTTATGTAAATATGAAAGTTTAGGTGTGAGACTGTGTAAAATCATAAGAATGCTGTACTGTGTAAAAGGACAGCGAAATGAAAAGGAATACAAGTCATGGCTGATTCATCGACCACTACACGTTCGTGGCGCCTTCACGGACTTGCTACGAGAAAAAGGAGGGATAAACAATAAAGTATATTTTATTAAATATTAAATGATGAGATAATTTGAATAGATCAATCCATCCAACAAGGAAATGTTGAATTTGAATTTATGGAGCTGGTTGATTTTCGGTGGGTCCAGTTTCGTGTTGTTCGGTTGCTTTGAAGTTCGTGCTGACATATTTTATGTATATAATTAGTATTTTGATCTTTTTAAAAAAAAATTTATGTTGTGACGAGAAGAAGAGAATTTAATGTAAAAAATTAAGCAATATTTATGATTACTTAATCATAGAATAATTGAACTCCATTTGAACTATATTGTTGTGATTATTATAAATATGGGGTAAAAGGCACACTTTTCCTATCTTTCTTTGATTTTCGTGGTCTAGTCTGTCTGAACTAATAGTTAGCATGGTTAATGAGTTGTCTTCGAGGGCTCACAAGAGGAGCAGAGCCGCCTGCCCAAGGGCTTTCGAAGACCTGAGTCGTGCCTGGGAGGAGAGCGGAGGTAGAAAGTGTTGGTGAAGAAACGGAAGAGACCAAATGTAGAGAATTAGATGGGGTTGTCAAACTCGCTTCTTGGTCGCCCCTGTGAGATGGTGCAGATGGTGGAGAATTCTCTTTCACCGCTTCAAAGTGGGAATGAATTACGGGTATAGAGGGTGTTTATTTGGTGAATTTTATTTTTCTAAATCTTATTTCATATTATCTTTTGATGCAGGCGACCCGATCATCAGAGTGGTGATCATCAACTCCCCTTTGGGAGAGGTTGGTGTCGATAGGTCGCCAAGATGGACCAAGGGTCTACCAAGGGCACTCCGTGCCATGACGAGGCAGAGAGTAGTCTGAGTCTCTCGGGGGAGGCCCAAGTGGAGGTGGCCAGAATGTTAGAATCTCACAGCTTAAAGAAGTGTCGACTGTGTGAGGTGACCGAAAGGCCAAAAACTCCAAGCTCACAAGCCAGATTCTTCCTGTCCTAAAACTTTGTTATTGCTCATTTAGTTAAGACTTAAACCCTCGCCTTCTAGGCATTCTCATGACCCTATATCATGTGATATAATTCCTAAACATCTAATAAAATGTCAACTTTAACATCAAATAAATCTCTTTAAAAATCATTAAACTTGAATTATAAGATAATTGAGATGTCGCTGAGTCCTTCAATGTCTTCGACTTCTCCATCTTCTTCCATTGGGTTACATAAATAAAGGGTTTCACTTTTGAGCCTCTTCCATTATGTATTCCTAATGATCAATCATGAAAATTAAATTAGAAATTTCTAGAAGACAAAACCATAGGCTTAATCAAGAAATTTATTAAGTAACTTTTATCAAGAGTTAACTATGGTGGGTTGATGCTATAGGAAATGTAAACTTTATCTAGTCTTCGAATTATGTAAGAGAATGATTTTTTGGTTTAATCGTAGGCCTTGCAAATATAAAAAAATTCCTTAATTTAAATAATTGAACCGATTGTAAAGTAATATTTCTAGCTTCTGAGATGGATTATTATTTTTTATGTCGTGATTGATTATTCAAATTATTAAATATTCGAATCTATATTGTGTTCAAGCAAAATATTGTCCAAAATAAAACCAACACTCAAAAACTTTGGAAGGTTATGAGCCTTATAACATACATGTATACTAAAAAATTCAGAAGATTAAAAGCCTTAGAAGGTATCGGTGCATTCAAAAATGTTAGAAGTATAAACCTTAGAAGATTTTGATGTCACTATTCTCTTACCAGGGAATACATTTGAATCCCATCAAGGCTTATATTATTTTGTCTTGTTGGGCAGGGTTGTAAAAGATGTAAGCAATTAACATTACTACGTTGGCCAACAATGACACACAAAAGATGCGACATCACTGGCCCAGAAGGTGAGACAACAACCTAAGAGAAACTCCAATGTTGTTAGGAAACAACAGCCCAAAATGTGAGGCAATAATCATCTAAAACGAACTCCAATATTTTTAGGCAACCACAACTCAAAAATTGAGGCAACAAAAGACTAAAAAGACCTCAAACATCATTAGGCAACTACGAGCTTGAAGGTGAAGCACAATAGCCTGAAATTAGACTCTAATATCTGAAGGAGAAGTGAGTGAGCTTTCTCCCCCTCCTAATGGCCCTATTTATAGGCTAAATTTTAGAATTTTGGCATCAAAAGATGAAATTTTTGAAATCATTTGCTTTCAAACTGTCTATTGGCATGCACACACGAGCGAGAAAGCACTCGCACAAATGAGTGCAAACTGTTAGAAACGGTGGAGCCTAGTCCACGATGCTTGGGCGGTTACTTTGCTTTGGAGAGTCACACCTCTTCACAAATAACCACTCCCGCCTTCCTCTTTTGTGACGTGAAGCATCTCTCTGCTCCCTCCTGTTCGTGATAAAAGCTTCGGATGGCTCTCCTTGGGTCTCCTTGGGTTTGGATGGCTCTCCTTGGGTTTAGTAGTCACGCTTTGAGTTCTTTTTCGGTTTCCTCTGGATAGAAGAAGGTTTCCTCGGAGCAGAGGAAGAGGAGGATCAGTTCCTTGCGGCCCTTGCGGCAGAAGGAAGAAGAAGAATATTGTTCTTCCTAGGCTTCTTCTTGGTGGCTTATGGCAAAAGAGAAATTGAGTTTATTTCTCTTGTAACTTTGTCTTCTTCGGTGCATCTCGGTGTAGAGTTTTCTTCGGTGTATCTCGGTATAGAGAGAGAAGAAGAGAGAGAGCAACGAAGAGTGAGAGATTCCTCTTCTAAGTCGAGGTGATTGACTGATGTAAATTCCTCAAGTAGTAAAATCCTTTGCAACTCCGTGGACGTAGACAATTTGTCAAACCACGTAAATCTGTGTGTTCCGTTGTGTCGTTCTTTTCTGGTGTGATTTTTCTCGTTCTATTTTTCACTTCGTTGATCGTTCTTCTGTTTGATTTATATATATATACCACATCAACTGGTATATCTAGATCTCGCAATAACAACATAAGCACACGCGTGAAGTCGTTCATCTAATTTCCATTGTGTAGGAGCGGTTCTCGGCATGTTGGTCCACATCATCCGACCCATGCAATAGCCTGCCTCCCACAACATAACCCGACCGAACTCGATTGGCCCACACAACTATCATTCGCCTACAACACGACCCGACCCGACCCTAGGTACCATCTCGATCTCAACGAAACCAATGTTTGTTCAATCCAAATCCAATTATGCCTGGATCAGGCCATTTAAACACATTGGAGAGTTTTTTTGGTCATTAATTGAATGAGGAAAATGAACTATAAAGGTTAATGCATAAATCAAATCAAGCGCCTCAACAAGAGGAACCCAACGAACCAAAGATTACTCAAATTTGAGATCATTAAGACCCTCAAATCATTAAAAAAAAAATCCCCCATTATCAAGGTGGTTGATATAGATCGTTCGATCAAGTGTTACGAAAGATAGTTGTCGAAGAACTAAAATATCTCTCGCCAAAGACTATAAATAGACCTCATCTCGTCACTATAAATATCAAACTAAGTAAAAACATAAAAATTATGTTCTATTTTCGTAAACATCACATAATTTCAGTTCTTTCTCTCATTATACATAAGAATAAAAGCAATATATACTTTGCTCAAATTTGAATCAAACCACAATACTCACATTTATCACGTTTCCCACTCCATCCCTTCATTCAACTCACACTCCCTCCCCCACCCGTTTCCTCTTCACTTCCTCTATATGAAACCCAAACCCAACACCAATTCCCAACCCATAACTTCCTCCAATCCCTCCACCATGGACTGCCTCAACGACTGGCCCGAACCCGTCGTTCGAGTCCAATCCATCTCCGAGAGCGGCACCGCCCTCATCCCCTCCCGATACATTAAACCCGTGGCCGAACGACCGACCATCGTCCCCGACACCGACACGGACACCGAACCCATTCCGGTCATCGACCTCAGCTCAAACATGGCTTCAGCTGTCTCGAAGGCATGCCGAGAATGGGGATTCTTCCAGGCGGTGAACCATGGAGTCAGCCCGGCGTTGATGCGCCGCACGCACGAGTTGTGGCGAGAGTTCTTTCATCTTCCTATGGAAGCAAAACAAGCTTATGCTAATTCCCCAAAGACTTATGAGGGCTATGGCAGCAGGCTGGGGATGGAGAAAGAGGCCATTCTCGACTGGGGAGACTACTATTTCCTCCATCTCTTCCCATTGTGTCTCAAAAACCATGATAAGTGGCCCTCTCTCCCACCTTCACTCAGGCATGTATACAATTACAGAATTATATCTTTCTACCTCTATATATTTATATTTTTTTATATAAAAAAAAGGCATGACGGGAGACTATTATACGAGTCCCGACCATCCCTAATATGCTTAAGAATTCGAGTAGCACACCCTACACTTGGGTAGAATTGAACCCAACACTAGAGGAGATTTACAACTCACAAGAAGATGCCCGACCAACTGATCTGAGTACACGACACACACACACATTGCAGTAGAGTGGAGTATAACCGAAGATGGTGATTAAGGGGATGTCTAGTAAACGATGACATTTAAGTTATTAGAATTTAGTAAATACGTTGAAGCATAATTGCTTGGCAAGTAAGTAGAAAAAACTGAATAGCTCTTTCTCTAAATCCCTTAAATCCATTGATTTGTGAGATTTAGTAAATCCGAGATTTACAATCGTAATCAATGAAATCCCCATTTTTCAAATTTGCGGCTTTTTTTTGTCCATAACGATCTTTTTGCAATATTTAGTCTATATCAAGGTTAAATCCTGCCATAAATATGTTGCTAGACAACCCCCAAGGCCGTGTAGCACATTTTTCACAAAAATTTAGCCATCTAAATAGAGAAATTATTGCATACAGACACCGCATGTTTCTTTGCATGCGGTGTCCGATCCTGACCGTAGATCACGGTGATCTACGGTCAGGATTATTTCAGTTTTTATTTAAAAAAAAAAATTTAGGTGTGGCCTACCGAAATACATCTGACTGATTTACGGACTGATTTACGGCCAGGATCAGACATCCGTATGGAATAATTTTTACATCCAAACACCAAAAAAGAAAAAAAAACTAAATACAACTTTCCATCATACCCAAATCTCTCTTTCCATTATCTCTCTCATGTAAATCCGGATTTATCAAATCTACTATGAGGCGAAATCATGCACTTCGACCAACTTTACCGACTTGATAAATCCTACTTAACGTAAATCCGCAGCAGGTAAACGCCGCCTAAAGGTGCAACCTTTTTGCAGGGAGACGGTGGAGGAGTATGGGAGGGAGCTGGTGAAGCTTTGCGAGAGAATGCTGGGCCTGCTGTCGGCGGGGTTGGGGGTGGCGGATGGAGCGTTGCAGAGGAGATTTGGCGGCGAGGAAGCAGGGGCGTGTATGCGGGTGAATTACTATCCCAAGTGCCCGCAACCGGAGCTTGCGCTGGGGCTGTCGTCGCACTCGGATCCCGGCGGCATAACGGTTCTGTTGCCGGATAATGAGGTGACGGGGCTGCAGGTCCGGCGCCGGAGCGGATGGGTCACGGTGCACCCGCTCGCCGATGCTTTCATAGTCAACGTCGGCGACCAGGTCCAGGTATCCGTTATACTTCCCTATGTTTGGTTCAAGTTTTAAAAATTTTGAAAGGTGTGGTTATTTACTTAAATACCTTACAATTCTAATGTATTTGCATGTATCAAATGCATATAATATTTAAATTTTTAATATCACGTTAAATATATTCTTATTATCATCAGGAGCGGACCCGCATAAGGTCGGTAGAGCAATTGCCACTCGTAAATTCAAGTTCTTACTTATATGAGAAGACAATTTGATGTTTTGTCATATCTTAAAACATCAATTTTGACTCTTCGAAAATATCACTTTGCTCTTCATTGCTCTAATATCATTTTGTTCTTTGTTGTCATAATCTCGCATGAAATATTTTATCGAGCTATTAAATAAAATGTAAATAAATTCTAGGATAATATAAATAAAGTATTAAATTGAGCTAGTTCGAGGGAGTGCTTATTCCATCAGAACACCAGACGCAAGTTTGCATCCAGAGTCCAGTGGGCACTTGTCACGTGGCAAGTGGACCCCACTGAAATACACTCATTGGGTAGGTTTTTTTGAGGGTTGGGACACACTTGTCACGTGGCACATGACCACTGGACTCGAGGGGTTCATACATTAAAATTAATGTGTGGAAATTTGCATACATGCCACACAGTTCTTATGCATTTACATATCTACCACCAAATGTTTAATATTTACCATTACAACACCTTAGTGTCATAAACTATGTGGGTATATGTGTAATTATGCGGCAGAATTGTAGGGTATATATGTAAGAGTAAATGAATTACAGCATCTTAATCGTTTTCGGCGTGCCTCACGTTTAGGAGACTATAGCATAGAGAAACAAAACGGCTTGTGGGGCAATGCATGCGTAGAAGATTCCAACGTGGGGCTTCAAACCCTTACAAGTCTTTCTTTAATCTTTAGCATTAGCCTTATGGAACACAAGATGGAATATTATATATATACATATATATCTACATATATATTATTATATAATATACATAATCTTATTGTACATGAAGTCCGAATGCATTTGAATTCCATATCTAACATTTTTCGGAATATAATAGCTTATTATTACTTATCTAAACTTTCTTCCATGGTGACCTTATTCGTGTTGTGCTATTCGATACTAATTATATCATTGGGCGGGGGTGGCAAGGGTGGCAAGGGTGGCAAGAGAAAGAGACCTGTCAAGAAGTTCTCTTGTCATTTTACAATTCATTGAATGTGAAGCATTCAATAAGTCTATTGGAATTTCGTTATTCACGATGCACGGTGATCCCTGTTAAGCATCCAAGGCCATGGCTGAATGGTTAAAGCAGGTTAAAGCACCCAACTCATAATTGGCAAATTTGTAGGTTCAATTCCTGTTGGATGCATGCCAATGAGAACATTCAATAAGTCTATTGGAATTGATCTGTATCAATGGAATCTCATCATTCATGCGTAGCGAATTGGTATGATATATTCATACGATAGCATATGAACAGTAAGAACTAGAACTATTATCGATACTAGAACTCGTAGGGAAGAAAATAGATTCATGGATGGAATCAAATATGCATCATTTACAGAAATAAGTATTTGATTATTGGGGAAGAATCAATATACTTTTAATGTCAAATCAGGATCAACGATGACACAAATAAAGCATGCAGTCGAACTCTTCTTTGATGTCAAGATAATAGCTATGAATAGTCGTCAACTCTAGGGATATTCTATTCCCTCCTATTCAAAAAGAGAGAGAGAGAGAGAGAGAGAGAGAGAGAGAGAGAGAGAGAGAGAGAGAGAGAGAGAGATTGTGCTTATACAAGGTTGTATGATCAAGAGGCATTTACAAGCATACAACATAATTTTTATCTATTTGCTTGTCTAATAACTAACTAAACATTCATACTTATATGCATATCATTCAAACATTTAACATCATGTCAAAATAATACAAAGACTATCTTTTTAAGAGTGAGATATGATTTTTAATGCATAAATTTATGACACCAAATTGTTATAAATATAAATATCAAACTTTGGGTGTTAGATATACAAATATTTAAAATCTATGGATCATTAGAACAAATGTGAAAAGTAAAATGAAATTAAATTTATATGAGATTTTTTTTCAATAGTTTTGCAGCACTCAAAATCATATTATATTAAAAATCAAATAAAAATATCATAAGGAAATAATAGACAATATTATCAATTAAAATCTTCAGAAGTTTAACAACAGTATTTTACATACATAGCATCTAATTCATATGTATTTATATATATAACCCTTAAATTTAATTTCTTACATTTATATCACCCAATTCTTTCATATCATATCAAAAATATCATTTTTTTTTTTAATTTTACAAAGTGAAATACATTTTTCATGCATAAGAAAGATGATATATTTAGGTGTAAAATGTAGCACGTGCTATATATACATTGCACACAATTCTTTTGTATTTACATATGTCAAAACTAAACTTCCTTATTTACACACATATCACTTCACTTAATGATCTGCCGAGTTAGAGGGGCAAGTCGTTGTGCACCTCATTCCCCTTCTCTCTATACATCTCTCTCCTGATTCCCACCACTATATCCCTTCGGTGTGACGCACAGAACAATCTCAGATTCAATAGTGTGCAAATGTATGTACAATTTCCAGAAGTTTAGGAAGCTTTACGTACATTCAACTCACTTCTTATGTATTTACACATCTCTCACCTAAATCTTACTTATTGCAAATTTAAGCAAATCACACTAATATGATAATTTAAGAAACAAATTAATATTATAATACTCTACAATTTATTTCAAAAAGTTTAGATATTGAGAATTACATTAATTTGAAGGGCAAAGAATACAATTCATGCAGGAGTCGAATACACTCAACTGAGAGATGACGCAGCTGAAAAAAGGCTTTAAAGAAAGAATTTGCCTCCTGTCATGAATTGCACTAGATGACTAGTGAGGGATTTTTGTGTCCACCATATCACTTTGGAATACATATATCTAAATGATCAAGTGCGACGTTTAAAGAATAATATACCACTTCAATGGGAGGAAGTACTACCTTGAAATGGGTCTGATCATTCGAATGATGAAATCTATGTGAGTCTACAAAACTAGAGTTTTCCCTTATTTATGGGTGTAAGATAAGATTTATGTTATTATGAGGTTTAGTTCCTTGCAAAAACAAGCCCTCATGGTTAATTATATCTTTAGAGCTGTGAGCCTTAAATAAAACTCTTAAGTAATATTGTGGCCCATGTTATTCAAATTGCAATGTTGAGCTTTCAAAGTTAAGATTTTAGAGATGAAGGAATGATTTAAGTTTAGAGTTTTGGAAGAATTAAGTTTAAATAGGATTTACAATTCAATGACATTGTGTCATGAAAGCTGGACAAAAGGGCTTAACTGTCGAGGGAGGAAGGTTTGCCTAAATAGTCTAAAAATAATCAGTATTGGTGAGCTTGAAGAGGATCAATAACAAGTTGGATGAGTTAATGTTTGGAGCTTTGAATACAAAACATATGAAGGGATTAGTTTGAAGTTGCATAAGATTGAACGAAGTTTCTGAATTAAAGGGCAGAATGGAGTATGAAAGATTTCTACATGGAGGTGAAACCTTACTTTTGGAATACTCCTAGACTCTTTAAGAAATCCAATTAGTAGGACTAACCTATACTTTAGGAATAAATCCTCTGATCAAAATGCTCATGACTTTTCATTATTTTGGGTGTGTTGATATCCTTCTAGTACAACCAGTCTTATAACCAGAAATCTTCCTTGAGTGCCATGACATGTGGAGGGTTTCTTAGTTTCAAGGAAGTTAGAAATGTCTTCGTCGGCCACCATGGGTTAATTCATGCTAGGACATTTCCTATAGTTTCATGAGATAAGATTGTTGGTATTATATATCATAGTCCTTAGCACTAACTAAAATACCTATTAAACTAACTTATACTTCTATATTTAGGCACGCAGGGTATTTATGATCCTCAATTCTTATGTCTAAGTTGGCTAAACTAGGGTTTGCGTGATTTGCCCTGGTTTAGTTCACGTTCTTTTTGTTGGTGGGTTTTAGATTTTGTTTGGGGTTCGATATTTAGGTTGTGGTTTGTTTTAGCTCCTAATTTTGTGAGTTGGGATGAAAATAAGGTTCCTCCTAAGTTCAGAGATTTTCAATTGATTTTCTATGTTAGTGTTCTTTATTTGATTTTATTCTTAAAGTTTTGAGTGCCATGTTAAATGTTCATGGGGTGAAGCAGCTTGTGAGAGGTTCCCCTCCTTTTTTTTTATCCTATTTTTTGTTTGTTTGTTTATCACATGAAAAGAACTAAACATGGATATGAATTATTAGACATGGAGCATGAATTTTGATTCACTATGCATACAATACTACACATGAATGACTACACATAAAAACAAGACTTAAATTTAGTTTTGATTAGACTTGGGTTGTAGTTGAGCTAAGGTTCTTAAATAAGGTCATCTAAGGTCAATTAAGGTTAGCTAAGGCCAGTTCAAATAAAATTGGATAAGATTTTGGTTCGGTTGCGTTCAATTTGGGTTTCGTTCAAATTGGGTAAGAACGACTCTTTTAAACTTAACAAATGATATAATCAACTTGATTTTCATATGAGAAAACAACTCGAGAGCTGACTCTTTAAAGATTGTGAAGAACAGTTGGCATTTTAGCGCATCATTGATGTTGAGCAGATAGATGTTGGATTTAAAGCAAGGATGAATTTGCTGAAATTAGTTTTGAAGATCTTTAGCTTGAAAATTAGCTTGGCCTCAAAGATCTCTATCAATAAAGCATTAGATGGTAGTGGTTTCTTTTTCTCAAGTTACCCCTCTAGTCAGTGATGTGTGGGAAATAAGTGTTTCTCTTCAAAATCTAAATAGATGCTTCATTGTCGATATGGGGCAATGCTTTTTTCCAGAGTTCATTCTTTAAACTGCTCAATCATTAGAGTTCTCATGTAACTGCACTATGATAGTAATTCTAGGGATTTGCTCCAAAATCCCTTTGATCATTATGCTAAGCACCTCTCTTCCATCTCAGTTGCCCGCATGCATTTTACAAAGACATGGTTCTTTAAATTAGTTGATGTCTCCCAAGCTAGTGCTTCTAATAATTCCTTAGGGGCTCCTTAACAATTTTTTTGTGCAACCCTTTTGAATGATGACATAAATTTATACTCATTACATCATTAAAGATGTACAATTCATATTATTCTATCACCAGATTACATCAGAATGTTACTTTTCATAAGGAAAAAAAAGGAAGAAGTAAAATGGAATATAAAGAAAACCATAAAGTGACTGTAGAAGAAAAAATCACTACAAAACTCAATAATATAAGGGCTTTGAACCTTGACCCTTTAATTGTGATTTCACACTATGAAATAACACCTTCTATCCCCATGAGTATCTATTTAAAGGTAGAGACTATACAAAGGTGTGAAACGAGATTGATTGATTACTCAATATAAAATACAAGAGACAAGTAGCCTGAGAGCTTTAATTAAAATTTAACTTCAAAGAAATCATCAATTCTCTTAATAAAAATTATTAGGAAGCTTCTAGGCACTTCACTGTGAATCTATTGAGTTCTCTATATGTTTAATGGTCCTAATTTTCTTGTACTTGGTAAGCAAACCTGCTTCTCTGGTAGCTAGAGAGTCTACTTTGAACCTAGTTAGTAAGTTTATCTTGAGATTGTTTCAACATATTTATCTTAAATTTGATTGATAAGTTTTCCCTGAACCTAAGAGATGGGTCCTTGAGAGCATTCTAACTTTATAAAATAATTGAGATTTTCACACATAACATTCCAAACACATCTAAAAACTACCTTAAATTTCAACTTTGCTACAAAATCTAAGTCGCAATTATTTTTTCGCATTAAAATCTTAATAATTTGTTAGCTATGAAGATAAATACATTAATCTAATAATACATTTTTTATAAAAGTGGAAGTATAAAAATATACAACATATTGATAATTAAGGTATAAATTTTTTTGTGGTATGTTTGGAATAATGTTGAATAAAAAATTTTAAAAATTAAAATGGAAGAGTCAATAGTTATTGTTAAATTTCATCAGGTTATGAGCAATGCTACTTATCGAAGTGTGGAGCATCGAGTGGTGGTGAACTCAAAGATAGAGCGATTGTCAATCGCTTTTTTCTACAATCCACGCAGTGATATGCCAGTGGAGTCCATTCCAGAGCTAGTGGGCCCGAATCATCCCGCTCTGTACCAGCCCATGACATTCGATGAGTACCGATTGTATATTCGAAAACACGGGCCGCGTGGCAAATCTCAAGTTGAATCTTTAAAAGCCATTGGTTAATTCCTCTCCATGGGGATGATCAGACTCAGGGGGTTGTTAAGTCCTTTTTTTTTTTTTTTTTTTTTTTTTTTTTTTTTTGTAACACTAGAAGGTCTATCCTTTATTTTAAGAGATTGATTTTAATATCTGTGTGTGTGTGTGTGAGAGAGGAATATTACTTGAAATAATAGAATAATCATTTTATTAGATGTTATGACATTAATATTTTTTAAAACTAAATATATTTAAGACTAATGATTTAATTTAAATACAAGTGCTTCATTTTTTTATTTATAATGCAATTTAATATCATATATTTTAAAATATATAAGAATACAAATTAATTCTCATATTAATTTTAAAATATAATTTAAAATTAAATTGGCTTTATATATTGTCAGCTAAAAACTTATAAAAAATACAAATTAAGAAAATTAAATAAAGAAAAACCATTCCATTTAATGTACTTTTCATGCATATATATATATATATAGAGATTGTGC